CGACATGTATCCGTTGGCCATCAATCTCACAGACACCCTGGCTGCCATTACCAATGGGAAACCGGCACCGTATGTAAGTTTTAGAATGTGTGTGTGTGTGATAAGTTGAATGTGTTGCGGAAATGTGTGCACTCGGATTAATTGCCAAATCAGCTGCTTTCTTTGGCCGATTTTATATTGCAAAACCACTAGAAACTCAGAGAGCTAGATTGTGTTCTTGGCGAATGATGGTTTATTTGTCTTTCAGTTGCATAACATTAGACGTTTTTGGCGCTAAACCTGTAGTCACATTGCATCATTTGCTTGTACTCTTTATTCCAATTAATCAATCTGCGTACCTGTGCTGTCTGATTAATCAGCTTAATGGTATAACGGAAAACAAGGTCAACATGCCTGGTCCAAATTTAAATCCTGGTTCAGCGCATTGCACGTGACCTCTCAACGCTATAGTGCAAAGCTCAACATGAATGCAGAGGCTGGTGTTTGCATGCAGCCAAAAAATTACTTTCACAATCGTTGGAATCACATTCTTCACCTCAGTCGTTTTTGGAACATGCTAGCTGCTTGGTGTATCTACTTGAAATTCACGCAGTTGAGTTGGACACAGCAGGCACAGCCGATCGTGTCAAGAATGAGCTGTGTACAACGCAGCCCCGCAATATTACAACATCCGATGCGGGCTTTATGCCGATTTGACATCTTATTCCTTCGGTACACAACAGGCACCAATCACCAATCCTAACATCAAACTCATTCGCACCAGTCGCACTGCCTGTGCACCTCACGACCAATCCTCGGAGGACGCCTACGACCTTGTGGTTATCTTCCGATCCGCGTCATACCACTTCGAGGAGCGGAGACGAATTCGTGAGGCAACTCGCAATCTGCCAGGTCGTATTCGTGTTGTGTTCGCACTGGGTCAACCGCGCGCCGACGTGGCAGGCAATCTGTTCCACATGAACGGCGGCTTCGTCATTCGATTGCCAGAGTAGGCAGGTGCCAAGGCCGTGGAGTGGGCACGACGGGCAACCGAAGCTCGGGAGAGAGCGTTAGCGGAGGCAGACGAGTTCGTCGACATTATCATTGGCGACTACGTAAATACCTATGTAAACTTAACCTACAAGCTCATGGCGAGCTATCGGTGGGCTTCTGCATTTTGCCAAGGTGGGCCTTTCTGGTATTTGACACGTTGTCATCCATCACACCGATATCACGTGCTAATCACAAACAGGAATTAAGGGCAGACATGAGATTGAATTGCACATCGCTCTTTTTTATTCCGAGTGTTGAAACTCACAGTGCTTTTGAACCTTGGTGCAATTGGAGTCAAAACTACGTGATTTATAAAAGAGTGAATCTGATCTAGCATGAAAAGGCATCAGCTGATATATCTGGGCACGTGTGAGGTTATGTTAACTGAGTCTGTTGAATTGCCTGGCAGCGGATGGCGTTTGTTTGTCAAATTCTTCTCGCATTCCACCTCAGACGCCCTCTTTGCAAGCATATTGTGTGGAGAATGTGATTCAGTTAAAGGATTGTAGACGGCGCCCGGGGGTTTCGCAATTAAATAGTGGTGTGTGCGGTGTACTCACACATGTGTGGATGCTGTTGAAGAAAGCGCCAACACCTTATTATCTTGGCATATCAACCTAAGGCTGCTTTTAAACGTGTCTGTTACCATGTTGGAGCTGCTTCATTATCATTTGACGGCGGCATAGTGAAGTGAGTTTTTTGCAAAGGCCATGTCAATGCTGAGGTGCAGTTGCGCGTGTGAATTTGTCCTGGCGTAGTTGAAATTGATCTGTCCAATGTTCGGCGGAACAAGCATATGCCCACTGGCTGCTGTTATTAAATTCATTGCAACGTTGCCACTTGGTAGCATTGGAAAATGGACAGCATAGCCGCTGTTAATGTTTGGTATCGCACCTGGTGCGTTGCTTACCAAGTGCCAATGTAAAATTGAAGTGTGCTTTGATGTCTGACAGTAAGAAGCAGCATTCAATTGATTAACAGGATGAATTCAAGCGAACACTATATGTCGGTAAAGGCGTTCTCAGTTCACATATCCACATGTTGACAACCAATTTGTTAAGGCCCTCAACTAGTCACGGAACCATCACGATGGTGGAGTAAATGACGCACCTTTTCGTCGAGCCTACTATCCATGATGTGATGTGTGTAGCTTAATGCGCTGTTACACTGAGAAAGATTTGTGTGAAAATGTGGCAATTAAAGTGCTTTCATTAATGACTGACTAGGAAAATAACACTTGAATTTGGCATCTCAGATTTCACACCTGCCGTGAGCGGTTGTGAATGGAGTTGATAAAAATGATTAGTGGCAAATAAATGCCCATTTAGACGCTCAACGTTGTCTTTGAATTAAGGGAATGTGCATTCCTGTGTTTTAGATAAATCCGACGTCTTCCTGTTTATTGACGACGACTACGAATTCAACGCGAAGAACGTGCTGAACTACCTAAGTGGTCTGACGAAGTTGGAGCGTCGCCAGCTGCTCAGTGGGCCCCTAATGACATGACGGCGTGTGATTCGTCCGTTTAAGGATGCCAGTCGAAACAAGTGGGCTGTGACTCGATATGAGGTTCCGTGGTCGCGCTTCCCACCGTACGCATGGGGAGCGGCGACGTTTGTTGGTGCGGATGTACTCAGGGAGCTGGTCGTAGCCGAAGCCTACACGCGCTTTCTGTGGGTGGATGATGTATTCATGGGCTTTGTCGCAGCTAAATTGCCACATCTGCATTTTCAAAGCATGAAGGGCTTCTACCTCGAATCCACCAATAACCAGAAGGCTCTCATAGCACATTCACCCCTCCGGTTCTCATTTGGTTGGGCATTAAGCAACGTGAAACAGTTTTTAAATAACTTGCATTTGTATGTCTTCTTTGTTTCGACAAACTCCAGCTTGACGTGGAAAACCGAAGCAGATTTAAGGTGGACTAAGGCGGCGATTTAGGTGGTGCTTCTGCAGATGTCGCCATATTCGGTGTCAGTTGCCGTCATGTTTGTTTGAACTGACAATTTGCCTGTCCACCCACGCACTTAAATGTTGAGGCCATTTTCACGCAAGTGATGCTGAATGAGTGGCCAGTAAAAATGATCACCTATTACGATGCAAATGTTTGTATATAGAATAAAAGAAAACGCTGCGTCAGAACTACATTCCACTACGATCCTTAGCACAGAGCCTTGATAATATCACATAATCAATTGCAAATGTATACTGCTATCTACCGATGCATGCAATTGTCGAGTCCACAAAGACAA